AAACTTGGTGATTTCTTTACCCATTTTTAAAAAAGTATTTTAATCATCAGTCATGGTTACTAACTTAATATTAGAGCATCTCTAATTTATTATTTTACATTAAAATGGTGTTGAGTTTTACTTCAACGTATTACACTATTTTTTACAACAAATTTTAAAATTTACGAATTGACCCCACATATTTTTTTAAGTTTAAAAAATTATGAAATCATTTAAATTTAACATATATTTTATATATAATACATTGCAATATATAAAATAACAAAATATATTAATATTTTGTTTAATTATCATCAAACATATTAGATTTTGGGTTAACTATCACCAATTGTATATATATTTTTTATCATTTTTGAAATTATCTAAAATTGGAAGGATCTCTTTATAAATGAAAAAGTTCAACACCAAATGAGTGTAGAAAATGAGTTGACACCATTTTAATATTAGAAATGGTGTTGGACTGGATAAGATTTTACACCAAAATGAGATTTAGTGTAAGATTTGATGTTGGGTTGCAGAAAATCTAAGTAAAATAAAATTTAGTGTAAAATTTGGTGTTGAGTTGGAGATGCTCATAGGAGAATGAGCCTTCTTGATATTTAGGGTCTCATCTTTCCACTTTCTCAATTCTTTGCGACTAGTTACGTGATTTCACTTCTTCTTTATAATTGTTTTCTATATAAGTCAATAACAAATTCAAAAAGAAATAGTCTTAACTACCCAAAAATAATTGTGTTCTTACTTTAAATAATCAACAATTGATTGGTTTCCATTAAGAATCAACATGACACAGTTGGTGCCGTCAAAAACATCGTTAGCTACGTTGGTGGCTTTGGCTCTTTTCGGCCAAAGAGATTTAGTCAGTGACTGAAGCATATTGTAGTTGTAACGAAGGAGCAAAACCCTCTCTTCCATTTGTAGGATTCGATTTTGGAATATCCATTATAGTTGTCGGATTTATCTAAATGCGATTAAACCCAAATCAACTATTATGTTTTCAAAAAAAAAAAAAAAATATGTTTTCAAAAAACCCCAAATCAACTACCGATTTATGAAACGTAATAAAAATAATAATTTTAAGATGTTTATTTAGTTTTATACGTAATAATTGTATTTAAAGTGATATATTGAATTATATATAATTATAAGGACTAAAATAATAACAAAAAAATAGTTAATAATAATATTTCTGATTTATTATTTGTGTTATATATAATCAGAGTGACAGAAATGAACAGAAAAAACAAAATTTGGAAGTTTTGAATAATACGAGCGTAAATTTAAAATATTTTCTGTTGAAAATTTCTTTCATAATTAATTTGTAGAGAAAATTACTAAAACTACCATAATTTTCAATTTTTTTTTAAAATACCATAATTCAAAAACCCATTTCAAAACTACCACAATCCTAACCCAAAATTACTATTTTACCCTTTCTATTTAG